CACTGCACACTGGAAATAATTCTACATTGGGTATGTTCGTGTAATGGATTAAAAGATACATATTATAGACCATGTTGGCTTCATGACAGAAATGTAGGAGCAGCTCAACATTGGAAAACCTAATTTTCTACATTAAAAGATTAAAGGAGAAAAAGCATAGGATCATTTGAAGAGTTGAACAAAAAGCATTGAGTAAAATATGTAATTTTGAAATTCTTTTAGAAAATCAGAAAAAAAATTTTCTGAACAGGTAAAATGACCCTGTAACAAACATAGTAAAGTTTTGCTTTAGGAAGCATAGGATGATAAGCTTTCAACATTCACTCTATAGTAAAAAATTTCCTTTTCAAAAATAATCAAATCACATAAAATTAGCTGCTCTAGGACTGATATTTCTGGATATTCTTCACATCAAATTGTCAAAATGTTAATTATATAGTTATAAATCACAAACAGGAACGTATGTTGTACACCACCATCTTAATAAACTACCCTGTGTCAGAGCCTTACGACTTCAATAAGAAATGAGCCATTTATTCATAAGTATCTCCAGATCTGTATTATGCTCTAGTCCTGGATGTCTGCCACACATCTGCTATCATTAGAAAATTAAAACTAATTTTACTAAATTTTAAACATCTGAATGCTCCTTATAAACAGGAATTCTCAGCAAGTTTCTCTTAATGAGCCATTTCTGACTTATCTGTGTGATGTGAATTAATTAAAAGTCAGAAAGTCTTAAGTTCTTAAATTGACAAATTATCTTTCAATCAAGAAAATACTTGTTAGCTATCTGATGGCTAACAAGATCTAATTTGGCTTAAGCAAATCTTGAAACTTGCCCAAAATAAAAGTATCAAAAAACAACAGATTCTAATACGAGAAAAATAAACTCACACTTTCTTCTTTCAATAAAGAGGTGAGGAAGGAAAGGAGACTATAGTGAAAGATTTATATTTCAAATCATTTTGTAAAGTGGAACCAACATTAAATAATGTTGCATGTATCTATATTCACCTCAATTTAGCATTGTTGTTGTTGTTATGTGCCGTCCAGTTGCTTGTAACTCATAGCAACCCTATGTACAACAGCCCTAAACCCTGCTCTATCCTGTGCCGATCGCACTGCCTCTGACACACCCATCCCGATTACCCCAGTCACTGAAGCAATCCACCTCATAGAGGGTCTTCCCCTCCTGTGCTGTCCCTCCACCCTCCAAAGCATGATGTCCCTAAGGACCGGTCCCTCCTTACAACACGTCCAAAGTATGTCAGACGAAGCCCCAGAATACTTGCCTTCAAGGAGTAGCCTGGTTTAACCCTCTCCAGGATGAATCTGTTTGTTTTCTTGGCAGTCCATGGTACATTCAATTTAGCATATATTATGCTACTTTTTCATATATTTTATAATTTTGCTAGTTTGTTAACTTCTTTACATTTTACTTTAACTATATTGTTTTATATATTATATATATTGTTGTTGATAGGTGTCAAGTATGACTCATAGCCATCCAATGAACACCAGAGCTGAACCCTGTCCAGTCCTCTGCCATGTCACAATCACTGACACACTCAAGGTCACTGCTGCAGTTACTGTGTCAATCCACCTGGCTGAGGGTCTTCCTTGTCTTCACTGTCCCTCCACATTCTCCAAGGAATATCTTCTCCTAGCAATATACCCAAAGCATGTGAAACTAAGCGTCATCATCTTTCCTTCCAAAGAGCACTCTAGCTGCACTTTCTCCAACACCTGTTTTTTGGCAGTCCATGGGATATTCACTACTCTTCTCCAACACCACAGTTCAAAGGCATCAATTCTTTTGTCATCCTTATTCACTGTCCAGCTCTCAGCAAAACAGCAAGTGACTGAAAAGATCATGGCCTGAATCAGGCATACCTTTGTCCTAAAACTGACATTACTGTTCCTCAATAATTTTGAAAGGTCCCTGACTACAGGCTTTCCCAGTGCAATACATCTCCTGACCTTCTAACTGCCAGTACCAAGTGTGGATCCAAGTAAGGTAAAATCATCAACAGTTTCAAATTTCAGAAAACTCTGGTGGCATAGTCCACAGGGAGTTGCATAGCTAACCCAAAGGCTGCCCCTCTGGCAGTCTGAATTCACGAGCAGCTCTAGGTGAGAAAGACAGGCAATGTCTTCTGGTACAATTTATAGCCTCAGAAACCCAATAGAAGTTCTGCTACGAGTCTGTTTTGAATAAACAGCAATAAGCATTTCAATGACTTCTTTTCTCTTCACTCTAGTCAAATGTTGTTGTACGTGCCACTGAATCACCTGTGACTCATAGTACAATAGCTCTGTACTCTGCCCTCTCCTTTGCCAGTCTGTCTCGAACACACTTGTTCCCATTACCCCAGCTACTGTGTCAATCCATATCATCCATTGTCTAACTCTATGTTGTTCTCCGACCCTTCCGAGCATGATGTCCTTCTCTAAGGACTGGGCCTCCTGGCAAAATGCCCAAAGTATGTGAGACAGAGCTTCAAAATTCTTGTCTCCAAGCAGTAGCCTGGTTTCACCCTCTCCAAGACAGACCTATTTGTTCTCTTGGCAGTCCATGGTGAGTTCAATACTCTTCTCTAGCACCAACTCAAAGGCATCAATTCTGCTTCTGTCCACTTTGGTTACTGTCCAACTCTGATACACAGCAAGTAATTGCAAAAGCCATGGCCTGAATCAGGTACACCTTAGTCCCCAGACTGATATCACTGCTCTTTAGTACTCTGGCGAGGTCCCTGTGAGTAGCTTTCCCCAGAGCAATTTGTCTTTTGATTTCCTCACTTTTGGTACCAAGAGTGTTGACTGTTGCGCTGAACAAATGGAAATTGTTAACAACTTCAATTTCTACTCTATCACGGTGCTGCCAATTGGCTCAGCGGTGAGAATCTTTGTTTTCTTGATGTTGAGCTTCAAACCATATTGAAGACTACAGTCTTTGAACTTCTGTAGTAAATGCCTCAGATTCTCCCCAGTTTTGGCGAGCAAGGTTATATCATCTGTACAATGTAGGTTGTTAATGAATCTTCCTCCAATTCTGATGCCACATTCCTCCTCATAAAGTCTAGCCTCCCAAATGATCTGTTCTGCAAAATTTTATCTGTTAATTTCCCTAACAAACCCTATAACCAGGACTATGACCTGTGAGTTCTGTGTGGCCATTACAATGGACTATCTGACCCAGTAGCTGCAACCTACTACTCCAGACACAGAGGTACTTGTTATCATGAAACTTGCAAAGCAGGCACTATAAAACTACAATATTTTAAGTACTGAAAATAGCAGACTATGTACAAAGAGATTTCTCTTTTCTTCATCCCTCTTATCTCCGAGCCAACCAATTCCATCAATATACTCTCCTTTCTCCAGATGCTCCTGTTCTTTTCTTGTGCTACCGTTTATTCTATTTTGCTCCCTTATTCCCTCTTTCTTATCCCTCTTAACCCGTAGAGCAAAAAACCTGAATATGGGGACACAGGGCCATAAACATTTCTCTGAAAAGGCCAGAGGGAGTAAGAATAACGGACCCCCACTGCCCCAGAGCAGAAAGCAGAATAAGCACCCACAGCCCAGCCCTATCGTGCCTACAGAGCCACACCAACACCAAGAGGTTCATTTATTCATTGTTGACTCACAGGCACATAGTTGTGTTACTGAGAATGGGGTTTATTAGAGAAGTAAGTTGACAAATGGGGGAGGCAAAGAATATTCCCTAAAACAAGCTCAGGTTTTAGCCTAAATTCCAGGATACAATTCTTCACTTAGTCCAGGCTCTGGTTTCAGTTCAGGTGTCAAATCCAAAAAACATCATCAGAGCAGGAATAAGTCAGCTTCTCCATCAAGCATCTCGTAAGAACAGCAAAAACCTTTAACCATGGACTTTACCTCAGGGATCCCCTGCTTACACCTTGACACAGTTTTTCCACATTAATGTCAGAGTCTCTCCACCAGCAGGATCTTCCCCAATTCATGCTGTTGTAAGTCTTGCTTGCCTCAAGTCTTGCTTCCCAGGTTTGGAAGACCTTTTTCTCTTATCCTAGTCCCACAGCTGTTGTGATCTGCAAGACACTGCTGATTTGCAAGACCATGTATCTTCAGTTTAAGGTAGCTGGAGGCCAGAGGGGGCTAACTGTTGGGATGGCTTAAGAAAGCCAACTTTAGAAAGCTAACAACACTCCCTGTAAAATTGATTCTTTGTGTAAACTGTTTCTGAGCTTTGTATATTATGATCTTATAGTAGAATTGTCCTTTCCTTACTGACTTAAGTCACTTAGCACAATGTGTTTCAGTTTCATCAATGTGCAGTATTTAAAAATAATTTTAATCACTT